CACAAGAGACCATCCAGACAGAAACCCAATATTTTTTACTGTTGCCTTTTTGTTACATTTGTTATATTTGTGCTGATAAATAAATAAAGGGAGTCATGCGCGCATGTGGGGTTAATGTGTGTGTGTATGTGTGTCGCACAACACTATAGATATAATTCATTCTAGGATCTATTAATTCTAGGATTAGGAAAAACAAATACCCGGGGGAATGGCGGGTTATCCGCAAGTGTTGTATATTTCTAAGCTAACTTTCTGGACTTATTCAAAGTGAGGATGTTTTTGGGACGATAATAACCGCTGTACCATCCCTGCTTTGGGATTGTGGCCAGTGACACACTCAGAACATAGAAACATTTGTGAGAGAGTGACTTCCCCCTCTATGCCCACCGGGGTTTGGTTGTATGTCCACAATTGAGTCCCAAATTTCTGTTGCTAAGTGAGACGTTTGCTAACTGAATTTTGCCCCATTTTGCCCCTTTTCTCGCAGCTGTTGCCAATGTAACCCTGGCGACAGCACGGATGACGTTACCCAGTTTGGCAATGAAACGTTTGCAAGGAAACCAAGGAGAACGAAGAGCGCCAAGGACTCACAAATCATTCTTTTCTATTTTTTCTTTGCTTAGAAAGCATTTCGACAACCCACCAAGGGCCACCCATGATCACACGTGACTTACAACATTGTCAGCCCAGTCCGCTAGTACGGTGGCAATGTAGTTGACCGCGTTTAGGATCGCGCAGTATCGGAAGGCCAGGGGCGTTCTGGTTTCTTCCTTCATGACTTGAGTGAGCCGGATTCGAAAGTCGTCCGCCAGCTCTTTCTGCAATTCCAGGAACCACAGTTTTCTGGCTGCTGTAGGAAGGTGCTTGTATCTATCTATGTAGAGACAGGAAAGTGTTGGCGTTTTGCATACATCAAAATTCAAGTCCCGTGTTTCGCCAAAAATAAGAGCTAAGCCCTAGCATGGTTTTTCAGGATGCTCGTAATATAAGCCCTACTCCCAAAATAAGCTCCAGTTAAGATTGTCAGGCAGACAGATGCATTTTAGTAAGATGATTCCCCCAAAATAAGACTTAACTGAAAAATAAGTCCTAATCCATGAATAGAAGAGTAGAGTAGAGTAATGTAGAATAGAGTAGAGAGGAGCAGAGTAGAATAGAGAATAGAGTAAAGAACAGTAGAATAGAATACAGAAATAGAATAGAATAGAATACAACAAAGGAGAACAGAATATGGAAAGAATAGAATAGAATAGAATAGAATGGAACAGAGAAGAGCAGAGCAGAATAGAGAAGATAGTAGAGAAGAGTAGAGTAGAATATAATACGGAAATAGAATAGAACAGAGTAGAGTAGAATAGAATACGGAAAGAATAGAATAGAACAGAGCAGAGTAGAATAGAGAAGATAGTAGAGAAGAGTAGACTAGAATAGAATACGGAAATAGAATAGAACAGAGTAGAGTAGAACAGAATACGGAAATAATAGAATAGAGCAGAGCAGAGTAGAATAGAGAAGAGATTAGAGAAGAGTAGAGTAGAATAGAATACGGAAATAGAATAGAATAGAACAGAGCAGAGCAAAGCAGAATAGAGAAGAGAGTAGAGTAGAATAGAATAGAATACGGAAATAGAATGGAATGGAATAACAGAGTTGGAAGGGACCTTGCCAAGCAAGTTATAATTACCGGTGATCACCAGAAGCAGAGTCATAAACGTTTCTGCGCAGTCTGGAACTTTCATCTCATCTACATCAGTGATGTCTTTGTACTGGGAGACCCATGCAGTTTCCGACGAAAGCATGGAGTCCATCTTCTGAAGAGCAACTGTGAGGTGGACAGAACAATGAAAAGAAAAAGACTCGTTCACAAACGCAGCTAACAAGAAAACGCAGTGTCAGAAAACGAATCGACAGCATTTTTTTTAAAAAATCCCAAATGCACGTACTATGGCGCATAATTAGCCTAAAGGCTATGCATGCCCTTTTGGGGACAAAAAACGGGTGTATGGAGAGCGGAAGAGGTATATTGGGTTTCTATTTGAGTTTGAGTTTTATTTTATTTATATTTCTGGGGGTA